TATGAGTAGGGAAGGGCTGGGTGTGGGTGCATGGGTGGGGGAGACTTACCCCAGTGACTGGCAATCTTCCCTGCTGGCTTCCCCTTTGACTTTCTGTGGAAGCTGGCATGGAAGGTTGCAAATGGCGATCATGTGATTGTGTGGCGTTTGGCAATTGGTCATAAGTGCGAACGGGTTGCCAAGCACCCAGATCACGATCAAGTGACCATGGGGGTGCTGAGGTGGCCACAACTTTGAAGACCAGTTGTAAGTCTCCTTTTTCAGCACTGCTGTAACTTCGAATGGTCATAAGTTGAGGACTACCTGTATGCTTAATTCAGAAGAACTAGCTCAATATCTTACAGTTTGTATTAACAGTTATACCAGTTATAATCTAGGGTTGAACATATGCATGAATTGCTTTCTTAAAGTCAAATTATTATTTTTAAATATTTGACACAACAAGGGTTTGGATTCAACAAGCAGCTCAAATGAAGACAAAGCCATTTGTGCCAAGAGACTATGACTGTCTATATGGAACTGCTTTGGATTTTCTGATGTCAGTTGCACATTAGCAGTATTCGACATTGTGAATAATTTCTAGCAATTTCCCGCAGCTGGGCAGCAGGCTAAATGGAATATGTACTTGGCCTAATGATTTAATCTGCCTGTCACAATTTGTGGATACTCACAGGCCCCATTAAATAAACAGCTAGATAGCAAAAAGATTTCCCTGGAGGTCTGGTATTTAAACTAGGGAAATGTGATTTTTACAGCAATTATGTAAATACCACAGACCTGTGAGAATAGCATAGAGGAAGTACAGACACAGCCAATATGTTACAGGGTCCATACACTTTATTTACAGTTTCACATTCTATCTTGTCTGCATATTTCTAAATATATTCTGTATTTACAACACTCAAACAGGTTTTCCATGTGATGTGGGAGCAGTGCTTCTTTATTTACCAGTAATATATCCCAAACTCCTGTAAACATTTTGTGAAGTTTGTTGTAAAGGTTGCCCACATGCACAAAAAATACATACATGCACAGAAATGATGACATAAAATATCTAGATGACTTTTGGGTCCTAAGTGTGATATCTGTGCACCTCTGTTTCAAGATTGTCTTAACTCCTCAGGCAATGTCACTCCAACATGAAGTATCAAGATGTGAATCCCTCCATAACTGCTCTTTCCAGATTTTGCACCCTCTCTGTGCCAAGTCTCTCCTTATTCTTCCATCTACGTCTTGTATTATTTCTCTGAGAATATCTGGTACCTACTGCTTCTGATTGTGGCTCTGATTGTACTTATCCCTTGGAAAATACTTTGGCACACACACTAGCATGGAATACAAAGGAACAAGGAGTTAATTTAAAGTTTTTAAAGTACTGCTGTTTAGTAGCTAAGCTTGTAGAAGAGTGATTGTCCTTCTTAACCCATCAAATTGGATGAATTAAGCTGAATTGTTTTAAGGACCTGCCAGCCTATCTGCATAGCTCTTTTCATAAGCTTGGTAGTTGCTTGTTCCTTGCTAGTCCTGCAAATCTGAATGGTACTTCATTAAAAAAAGTCCTTAACTCTTCAAGTTTTTTTCAAGTATTCTTTTTCGCAAATGACATGAATAGGCAAGAGTAAAATTAGAAAAGAAAATCTTCTAATGGTTCACAATTATGAGGAATTCTGCTCAATCCATAGTGGCATTTGGCATAATTTGAGCTTTCCTTAACAAACTGCCCTTTTTATTGCTGTAGTAGCTGGGACTGCTTCCTACTATCGGCCCAATGTACAGGTTCTGCAGTTTAAAATCATGAATCCTTTTTAAATTCAGCAATTGTCATTCTCCCATGGGTATACTCTGAATAATTTCAATTAAGTTTTCTAGACCAAAAATATAGCCAAGATCTGGTCCCTCATACCTTGAGTCTTTGTGGGTTGTGTGAGCAAAGTCTATCATGCGAACATCAACTTTAGGATGGCTATTTCCATGTGAAGCAGAGCAGCCTATGTTCTGATAATGCCCCTGGGGGTCACTGTTTGAGGACATAGTTTTCTCCAGTCCCTCATAGTTGATGAGAAGTGAGCTAGAGAAGAACCGGTAAGAATTCTGGTTTTTGATGACAGATAGCAGAGTATTCAGCTGAAACAGAATTGGTTCCACAAGGTCTGTTCTAAAACGATTCCCATTGTGAAGGAACTGGCAGAGGGCTTGCTTGAAGCCATCTGGTGAAAGTTTCCGTCCGTAGTACTTATCTTTGCAAATATATTGGACAGTATCTGCCTGGTAAACCTTGAATTAAAAACAATAACAATCTACATTAGCCATCTGTTTTGCAGATTGTAATTTGTTAAGTCATTTTATGTAGCTCCTTCTGAAAGCCTCAATAGTGCATTTTGAATCTGTGCATTAGAAGCTTAATATATTTATCTTCATCTCTGCAAGGCAGAACTATAATGTCCTGCATAGATATGGGAACTGAAGTGTTGAGAAAGTACAAGCTGGGATCAAGGTTTTGCATTCATTTTAAGGCTATTTATTATATTTGTATAGTGTCTTTCTTTTCAAAGTCTCTTTAGCGTATTCTTTCAATAAACCAATGACGTACTTACGCTGAGATAGTTACTGGTTTCCATGTTACCCAGCAACATTCATAGCTACTATATCATCTTTTAAAAAATGTATATGTCAAAGGATTTAATCTAATAGTGCTTGCTGGCAAAATAAATTTACACTCAGGCAATTCTGTTCTGAAATTTTCTTTCAGTTGCAATACTGATAGAAATGACTGCTTTGACTGTTACATGGCTGCAATTATTCAAAGCCATAGGACAGCTTTCTGTTCTCCCACTAAGCAAGAATTCATTTAGTTGATGATTGTCTATGACTTCAGATCATCTGCTAAAGTGTCTCTCTCAATTAAAGTAGGAGGATTAAACTCTAAAATAAAATCTGCAGCTCTAACATGTTTGCTTTATATGAATTGTCCTTATTTTTTCAGTGGCAAAGAAGCTGTGGTAATTGTAATTAGTGTAATTCAGGTCCATTTAAATAATTGGGCATTCCTCTTCTGAGTTGTGGTCTCTAGTCATTGTATATTTGTGTCTCCATACACTTGTTTTTCTTTGATGCCGGATGACATTTTGTTGCTGTTGCTATTAGATTAATAACAGCTACTCTGTGGAGGGCTTGTTACTGATTTTCAACAGCATGTGGTCTAATCTTTTGCCCAGAAGATTTCAGAAATGTATAGGTAACTTTTGCAAATTAGTTTTGAAAAGCTGTAATATTTAGGTCTGAAGAGGTATATTTTACCTTTATTCATCAGATAATGGTCATCAATCAACAAGCATTTCAGATATATTTTGTCTTTCTAAGCACAGACCCAGGCTAAAACAGAGATGCTTGGAGGAAAATCATATTTCAATTTAATTTCTTTCTTTTTTCTCTTTTATTTACAATCACTAAATTCATGGCACTCTTTAATGGTAACACACATAATTTTCAAAATAGATTTCTTCTCACCTGCATGCCACAGATGCGGACTCCGAGGGAGGCTGATGTACTCTGTTCACATTTCCTTATTTGGCGTGCTTTCTTCTCCTCTGATGCATCATCACCATGCTGCCTGGTTCCCATCTTTAAGTCCAGAATGCATGGGTATTTATATTTGGATACAACATTTTCTAGCAACAGAAATTCTGGATGTACTAGTTAAAGAAATCCGTATTTTACTTAGGTTTACTTTGCAGTTCCCATTCATTAGTTTCCCTGTTTAGCTTCTTGTTTCCATTTCAGCATATTTATCCTGGCAAGATTCTTGTGTCTCAGAGCTATCTGTCCATTTTCTATCCCTGGTAAAGGTCAGTGGAATATTTCCTCCTAGAGAGGTCAACAATCAATGCATAAAGGTTGATAGTTTTAATTACAAGGTTGGGCTTTCAGATACGTTCTAGGAGGCGGGTATCATGGGTCATTGAATAGAATTTCTAAGTGCATAGTCTTTATTTTTTTTTTTTGACTGATGTAAATCATAGCTGAAAAGATGTTCAGCACAAATTCAAACTCTGTGGTATCTCTCTGTAACATTGTAGTGGAAATGCAGAATTTTAAATACTGTGGAATCTGGATTATAGGAATGCAAAACTCTTAAGTTGCCACACATCAAATATAAACAGCAAAACTCAAAATATATGAGATGCAAATTTTGTTTCCTGTAAATGACAAAACTTTTCTTATAGGAATATCTAGAAATGGGGTGTATAAACAAGGTTAACACTTTTAATTATTACTATAATAGAGAAACACAGCTGCCTTTCTGATAATTGTTAAATGCTAACTAAATTCAAATCTGCATTTTTTTCCTGTTATAGGCAAATCCAGATCAAAATAGTTGACAGTAAGTCTCATCGAGTTTCATGTGTACATTACTGCAGTTTTGGTCCCATTGAAATCATTGTTTACCTACCAACATGCAATCTAGGCTTAAGATGTAGGTTTTGTCATTATCATATGCACTTAAACATTTGATAAACTGTCCCTTCTATGCTTATATTTATTACAGTACTAGTAGCCCATAAGAAAGTACAAATTATCAATTGTATATGTATATTATAATGCTCAGCTAATTCGGAAAAAAAGATACGATGAAGTTTATTCTCATTGTACTTGGAAGACATGCGGTTTAGATGCTGTTTGTGGCAGTGCAATCCCCAGGGGTTAAAGCGGTTATTTTCTTCTCGGTTCCCATTGGCATCCTCCATAAGTGACGATACATCTTGAAGATCTGTCTGTAGTAGTGTGTTCCCATGGCAGCTAGACACAAAGGAATCTGATTAGCTTATTGTCCAGAAGGAAAAGATGACCATTGTAAGTCTCAGCATATATACTTGTTTCTAAATCCTTGTAATCTCAGCAGGATTTTAGACATAAACTTAAACCCATTTAGTCAGAAGTAAATTTCTGTAAGTCCACAATTCGGATTGCAGCCTGACAGAGCAATTCTATACATTGCTTAGAAGTAAGTCCCACTGAGTTCAGTCTGACTTACTGTCAAGAATGTGGGCGCTAAACTGCAGCATTCATTGTAAATTAGAATGCTACGAATTGTAACCTGCTGGAAACAGAGGTAATACAAGCAGGATTGGGACTGGCAATGGAGGAAAAGGTACAATA